GGAGGTTGCTTCTCTCCAGCGGAGCAGCCACCAGGCTGGTTCTCCTGTTAGGCAGAGACCGAATGGCGAGGGCGAATTACAGGGCTCAGCAGGCTGCTGACCTACTTGGTTATTATAACTCGTAGGACCTATGAGTGCTTTTTTTTTTTTTTTTCCAGTAAAGCTACAGAGTGACTTGTCAGCAAATTAGTTACCTTTTGTCAGGACTTTTTAAAAGGTCTGTGGCACTACATTCCATTTAGAAAAATATCAACAATAACACAATTTCTAATTTGTAGAATTATAGATCTAAAATACATTGCTACACCTCAAGAGAGGACGCACATATTTTCAATTAAGATATTTTAGCTTCATTTGTTAGCTTTATAATCTTAGTTACAGTATTTCCATCAATCATTATCTAAGTAGTTCATTGGGTTTTGTAAGGAAAAAGTGAAATGGTTTCAATTTTGTTTTTGTACATTTGCAGAATATCAATAGATAATATGATCACCCTAGTTTTCTGTGTCCACCATGTGTATGGAAACTCGCAAGTGGATGACATTTATTCCTTTAAAAAAATCATTTGCTTAAAGTAGATATCAACAAACAGCTCTCCCTACTCTAGTGCCCAGCACGCCTGTTGTGACTGGTACAGTTTCTGAGCTGGAAGAGACTGACTGTCTCAATCCCCACTTGGTCGAAGCTTCCTGATGCCAAACCGCTGACCGCAGTTGAAATAAATGTCTACCGGCTGTGTGTCTCCCACCTTCAGTTTACATCATGCATAGACTTCATACTAGTCCACACGAGGCTGCCACCAGCACATCGCTGTGGGAATTAGAGCAAAGGGGTACTGCCTGGGGAGCTAAATTAGAAACAAATGGAAAAACAGGCTTGTATGAATGGCTGCGTTTTCAAGGGGCCAGGGCTTGGCAGGCAGGCGGAGGGCATGTCTCCCTGGTGCCGGTCCCTGGTTCAAGTCTCTGGGCTGCGCGTACATTTCAGAGGCCTCAACTCAAATTCATGTGATGGCTCCTGCACCTAGTTTCCTACTCTGCTTGTGTATAAAGTCCTTCAGAGGAGAGTCTACACGTAGATACTCTCTTAGTTTTCAGCAGTTAGGAAGAAGCGGTCTAAGCGAAGTCGTGCAGAATGCAGCACTGTGAGGGCAGGGGCCTCGTCTCCCTCTCCGCTGCACATTCGGGCCTAAGCAATGCCTGGCAGAGGGCTGGCGCTCGGGGAGACGAAAGAATAAAACACGCACGTTCCTGTCACAGAGGATGCGCAGGAAACCTCAGTGATTTGCCTAAAATCGCAAACGTTTCCGGGTAGGGGCGATCCCGGAATGCACGTCTCTACATTCATTTCTGCCAGCTTTCCCTTTCCAGTCTGCTGTCCTGATGAGCTAGGATGGCTATGCTATGTCATGTGACAGGTTAAAAAACAAGCCTCTGGAGAGGATCTGGAGGGTCCTGCACCTGCTTTTTAGTGCTTAGGCATGCAAGTGAAATATGACACAGCCATGCAGAGACCCTGGGCCATAACTATCACAGGCCCCAGTCAACGGGAGAGAGCTGGGAGTGTGCACAGTGTGACTGCTTGGTTATTACTAAGAGTCCCTGCCACACTGTCCAGTGAAAATAAAATTAGGTAGGTACCTGATTTTCCATTCAAATTCTTTATTTTCTCTACAAGGATTTTATTAATGAGACTGTCCAGACATTTTATATCCCTTTTTCTCTGATATTCATAGTTAGTATGGTCCATACATACTTTTTTCTGGAATGTATTGTTATCTATATAGAACTGAAGAGCATTAGAAGCTCATTAATTTGGATTTTTATGACTTTTGTGTATATTTCCCATGAGTTGGTCAAGTGACTACTTATTTTTGAAGATATAATCTGATGTAAAAAAATTAAAGCAAAAATCATCCAAGGAAAAACATTTAAAATGCATAATATTATAACCCCTTTACACATAATTTTCAAATACTGTTGATAATTACCCATTTGGTTATAAACAATGAATATTTCTCTTATTCATAGGCAAGGTTGGCATAGGATCTGTGTGATGCGTGGGTACATATACGTCATATCCCCTGCCCTCCGGAATGGCATCTCAGGATGAAATAATGCATAGATTCCTTCAAATCACAGCAAAATTAAACATAATGTGTGACCTTGAGTTGACTTAAAATATTTTGATTATATTACTCAAATAAATACAAGTATAAAACTAGAAGTAAGTTTCTTGTCCTTATAGGTCTTGTAAAGTTAAAACAAAGAGAAATTTACAAAGCAAATGCTAAAAAAATAAATAAATGTATCTTAGTGTAAATCTATCGTGATGGGTGATGTTGTTTTGCTGAAACCGAATAGTGGTATATAATGTAAATATAGTCTGTGATTGCACCAGCTGTTGCAGAGTGTGTATTTAACACAGTGCAGCTGGGGGCTATGTGACCAGTAATTGACTTGTCCCACTTATTTCTCCTTTGACTCCGGGAAAATTTTGTAGCACTTTTAATACATCATCTAGCTTTTATTTGGTATAAATGGATCGCTTCCTTATTAACCCATAGCCATGACTATTTTAAATAACACCTCATCTCACAAAACACTTCAACTACAAAAGCAAATGCAGATGCCACAGCTGGGCATTCAGCTGACCTAGATTCATAACATGCTCGTGCTGAAAGCTTTCTAAGTCTTCCGAGTGTTTACAAGATTGCTGGGGGACACTTGTGGGCTCCCTGAGAGTAAACATGCAGGCTCAGGTGACAGAAAAAGGACCCTAGGAATGTACTATTCAGCTACAAACCCTTCCTTATTTATTCTGTAAAGCCATTCCCTAAATTCCATCAAAACTAATATGCAAGTTCAAATGTGCCACAGCTTTCATTTTCTTAGATTCTTAAAATAAATATTTCATAATATCTGTAATTTAAATAAAAACCCATTACCTCTAATCCCTTTACTAATGAGCTAAGACAATGTTGGTATGATACACCTAAATAACAGCACAAAATATCAGGGGAATGACAAGATTTTCAAAATTAATTATATTAGACATTAATTATCTGACTAATCCAAGATTTTCATTCAGCTGGAATTCTATAATTCAAACATTTCTTGAATGAAGCCAAAGCATATAATACCAATTTACAGCAAGATTAATCCCAGTTCAAGTAGCGTTTTGTAACCCATGTCTCCTACCTCACCGATTTAAGTAACCCACCGTGGAAGTGGTTGACTTTTAAAAAAATAACATTCAAAGAATTCTTTCAGTGAGGAATTTATAAAGATTGCAAGGGAAATAGCTGAGAAGACTTGAACCTACTTCTGCGGAATGAAATGCAGCTTAGAAACAGTTAATATAAGAATAAATACATCGAACAAATTACCTGTTACGGATAGAGTATGGTGATAACATGGACTCTGAGTTTCTCATCATAGGACAGGTATGGATAACTAGCTAGTGATATATAGGTACAGTAAGAATACAAAAATAAATGCAAGTACAGTTAAAGGGGATTTAAAATCCATAGACAGGCAAGGACATAGGTATAAATGCAAATATGGTTATGAAAGGTTTAAAATAATATTTAAGGATACAAATCATTTCAAATGCAAGATATTTGCAAAAGAAGGAAGGCACAAGGAATTTGCTAAACTTTATCATAAGTAATTTCATATCCACGTCAAGTCGATATTGCATAATTTTTAATCCCAGAACCAAGAATGACTAGTGTCATCTGCACTCCTGGTTGGCTTCTCAAGTTTTACCTTCCCCACTTGATTTTGTTTTTCTACATCGCCATCTCCTATCAGTTGCCACTTTTTAGTGTCACAGCTCAAATGCCAACTTCTGAGTGACTTTCTACTGCAACTGGTGTGCGTGACCAAGATTTCATCTTTTGCAATTACTTTTGACTGTTCTTTGTAATCTACACCACACAAGACATTAGAACAGAAATCATGGAGTGAGAGAGATAGGGCTCTGATCTTGGTCCTGCGCTCCACCCCGCCGGTGCGACGCTGGATAATTCGTTTAACCTCTAAGAATCGGGATTGCAGCGCTTACCCCTTCCTCTTGCGAGGACCGCGGGAGAGAGCGTATCTCAAAGCGTGGGGGCTTGTGTGGATTAAACACGACGGGTAAGCGCAGGCTGCTTTTTCCTTGCAGTGGATTCTCACTTCTCCTTTGTGACTCCTTTTGTGTGTGAATGCACTTTGCTTTGTACGTTGTGGTGGAAAGTTTTCTAGAACACGTTAGCTTTGGGGTACACAATGATATCTCCAAGGTCAAAGACACCGTGTCAAGATTCTCTATTGGAACAAAAATGTCACTTTTATGGTTTTATCTCCTTCCTGTCACCAATAGTCACAATTTCACATGTTTTTTGGTCTTTATCATCGAAACAGACTTAAACGCTTCCCATCCTCTATGTTAGAGTTAAACATGGAAATAATGTTAAATAAATGCAAAGGAAAATAACCCAATTTCACAAGTAAACCTGCAGCCAAAAATTAAAAGACCCAAGAAGCAAATTTCAAATTCAGGAGATAAATTTTCTATAACACCCTGGCCATACTGAAGGTTTCATGATGTTACATTAAACACACACGTGCCAATGAGCACGTGCCCCGGCCCAGAATCACACCCGTGACCTTTTGGTGCTCAGGCCGACACCACCCAGCTAAGCCACAGCGGCCAGGGCGGGAGCGGGCCTTTTTAAAAGGACGTTGTACTGTGATCATGTGTGTGCATGTTTGTATGTGTACCTGGAAATAAAATGTCTCAATACACACTAAGAGACCTAAAACTAGACGTGCAACAGACACATCCCTGGGCGTATTCTATGTGAATGAAATTCTGTTGCAGAAAAGCAGCGTAATGTCTGGTTTTACGACCATGGAAGCCCCAGGGAGTTTCCTGTGACGTTTATGGAGGAAAAGGCAGGTGACGGGTGGCGCTGGCACGGGCACTGGGCGCGGCGGGCGCGGGCTACTTACGACCATCTCGTTGAGCGACACCCAGCAGTCGGGCGGGAAGTCCTGCAGCAGCGGCACCAGGAACTGCAGGCAGCCGTCCCAGTGGCACAGCAGCAGCATCATGCCGATGAGGTTGAAGATCCGCACCACGGCGCTCGCCAGGTCGTAGGTCATGTGGAAGATCTGGGGGCCGGAAACGAAGCCGACTCTTACAATCGAGCGGAGGAAATGTCAAGGGCACTGCCAGGGCCAGGGGCACGCGCAAGGCCAGCAAGGCGGGGGCTTCCCGAGAGCACGGCCCTGGCCTTCTCCGCAACGGGCCTCACCCCGCTCCCCGGGGTCACAGGGCTGCGGGCTCCCGCCAGGGACACATAACGTGGACACGGGAAACGTATGGGACATGCGTCACAAACCTTGGTTTCGCCAGGAGCTTCCATCTCCTGTTCTGGGCATTTCAGCAGAGCTCCCCTAGGACAAGGTAGCAACCTGACAAGGGATGGCAGCCCCCCTTTCCCATTCCTTGCGAAGTTGCTGGACTTACCGAAGGACCAAATAATAATAATAATAATAATAATAATAATAATAATAATAATAAGCTAAGGACTAAAAACCATGAACAAGGGTGTTTAATTGCAAAATATAGTTAATTTTAGCTATTGAGTGGAGTTACTTCTTTAATTGCATATACTGAACATGAATAGTGAACTTTGAGATAACAGTTCTCTGAATTTGCTTAAAAAAACAGTTGTCAACACTTTTAAAAAATAATAAAGTTGTTATTACCACTTATGTTATTTGTATGGTACAGGCTACCTTTCCTATGAACCCTTCTTGATATTTTTCAGAAATTAATAAATATGGCTCAGTATGCAAACACAACACCTTGAGATATTTAGAATCACATTTTGTATAACTGACCAAAAGAACATTTAAATTTGAAGAAAGACAAATATTGCAAAATTATCTAAGAAATAGGAAAAAGCCCCATAAAATTTATATTTTGATTTAGAAACCATATCTTTGTAGGGAAACGTCTATAATTCTTAAGAGATGTTTACTGAGGCATTAGAGGTAAAATGAGAGGACAGTTGGAGTTTTACTGTTATAAAACCACCAAATCTGTCTTCAATTAAATGATTTCCACTTTGATACATTTCTATTAGCCATTAATTCTTTCTTTAAAAAATATTCCTTTTTGACACAGTAATTATAGTGAGAGAAAAAATCATCTTGTTTTGTGGAAATGCACACATTGCTCTGAATTCCTTTTAAAAGTAAGTTTGAGGTCCTAGATATAAAGGCAACAACCCACGTACTTTGATATTCAGACAGCTATACACACAATTTACTTAAGGCACTGAGAATTTTATTTTCCTTTAAGTTATTTTTAAATTTTATTTTGTATTTCGCAAACCCATTGAGAAGTCCTTTTGATGTTATGGTTTGCGATGTTCCTTGGTCACTGAATTTGTAAATAGAAATTGTATCAACATTTTCATCAATAATTTCTCATTAAAAGTAATACAGTAAAACATAATAAAAAAGGCTCCTACTACTAAAGTAGAAATAAATCACCATGGATTTAATTTATTTGGTTTAGTAATAGAAGTCTATATTTATGCCTAAGTATTTCCTGCCAAAATAGTCCAATATAACTTTTGGGCACTGCTGGAAATTAGGGTAACGTTACAGAATATAAACTTCTGGATCAAACAAAAAACTAATTACCTTCAACCTGGTTCTTTGAAGTAAACAAGAACTATCTGAAACTCTTGCATTATAAGCACACAGGCAGCAGTCATCATCCAGTTATCAGACTGCAGAGGGAGATCTGGGCTGTTACAGAGGACTAGTGTCATTTTTATGATATTTCTATTTTGTTCTTATGGAATTAGATTTTCTTTGTGAAATCTTAAGGGGTTATTTAGTGAATTAAAGATAACATATGCTACAAAGTCGCTAATCATCGGAGAGATGCAAATTAAAACCACAATGAGGCTTCACCTCACGCCTGTCAGAATGGCTCCATCAGCAAATCAACAAACACGTGCTGGTGAGGGTGTGGGGAAGGGGCACCTGGTGCCCTGCTGGGGGGAGTGCAGACTGGGGCGGCCGCTGTGGGAGNCAACTGTGGAAAACAGTAGAGAGTTTCTTCAAAAAATTAACTATGGAATTGCCATTTGACCCAGTGATCCCACTTCTAGGAATATATCCTAAGAATCCTGAAACACTCATCAGAAAGAACTTATGCTCCCCTATGTTCATAGCAGCGCAATGTACAATAGCTGAGACCTGGAAACAGCCCAAGAGCCCATCAGGAGATGAGTGGATAAAAAGCTGTGGGGCATTCACACCATGGATACTATGCAGCTTTAAAGAACAAGGGTCCCTTACCCTGTGGGACAGCGTGGNTGGAGGGAACTGGAGAGTATTATGCTAAGTGAAACAAGCCAGTCAGAGAAAGACAAGTACCACATGATCTCACTTATATAAGGAATCTAATGAACAAAATAAACTGATGAACAAAATAGATTCAGATACATTGAAGCATGGAACAGACTGAGGAATCTCAGAGGGAAGGTGGGGGGGG